TCAAGTTTTATTACTGGCACATTTTTAAAAAGAAGAAAAATATATTTTCTTACAAACACATTTTGCATTTACTTTTTTCTTACCACAGATAATACCTTAATTTTGTTTCATTATATTTTACTGTCTTTTGATGCATGACTGATATGACTGCAGGGTGACTTTTCAGCAATGTGTTACTTACCATTTCTTAAAACGATGCAACCGAAAAAACCTTTTGGTACCGCACTTAAAGATTTTGGATTGCTTGAATACGTAATCGGATAGGAAAAGCATTGAGACGAATATTATACTTTTGTAAACAGCTTTAATACGCGATTATGTCCCTCACACAAAACACCAAAATTCTTCTAACAACTTCGTTGTGTCAATCCTACTTTGCAAATAAATAAGTATATCCTTTATCCTTTATACAGGTATGTTTCCTTATAGAATATTACACGTTAAGCATCTACTTTATTTCGCATGCAATTCCGATGCGTAATTTTTCAGGAGCGCGTCATAGGTAAGTGACAGGCGGACAGACGGGCGCTGGGTTTTACCTTTTACTTTCAGAACTCTCTGAATAATTCACGGAGGAGTATTTTTTGGTCGTTACCTCGCTCACCTGAATTCATATTCTGTCGAAGGTCGGCCATCTGTGTTTGTTTATTTATGAATCGTCTGGAGATGAATGTGGATGAAGGTACGCGAAAGAGGTGGTGGTACGTTTTAAAAAGTATTACGGTAAGGCTTTTTGAGAAATAGTAAAGTTGTTTTTTTATGCATTTTAGGGTTCCGTATTTATTAATATAACCTATGCACTCACTGTGTGAATCAGCAACGAATATAGGACCTTTTTCTCGTAACTTACCTATGCAATAAAATTGTATGAAATTTTAGATCTGTCGCACACCGTTGATTTTTCGTCGGCCGATAGTTTAGTCGGGCTGTTGATCAGTATGGGCATGTATGGGAGTGCGCACACTATGCCGATTCGATTTGGCCGATTCTTCATACAATTTGAAATCGGGCACAACTATCGACCAACTAAAAATCAACGGTGTGCGCCTACTCTTAAGCTTTCGCGTTTCATTTCACCTAAAATAGTAAAACACGGGTCTTAATATTTTAGTTTAAATTGTATGAAATGTCATTGTGTGCTTACGTTACGCTACTTCCAGGTAAGTATGCCAAAAGCTTAAGATCTTTCAAAAAACTTGAACAAATCCTGATACAAAATAGACAACTCATTTATGTTTAAACTGAAAAACAGTCAGATACGCAATTCTGATCCGCTGGATTCGCGCTTTCTGTTCTCGCTGTCAGTACACAATGAAGTTATGTAACAGTAACATCGCTCGACGCTCTGCACTAAATACACATCATCATCATCACCATCATTTCAGCCATAGGACGTCCACTGCTGAACATAGGCTTCCCCCAATGATTTCCATGTTGACCGGCTGGTAGCGGCCTGCGTCCTAAATACACGTACTTAACACATTAATATTGAGATTAGTGTTTGGGAATGCTCACATGCGCTTTAGTTGTTTACACGTAGAGGATACTAATGTTGTTACAGAAATAAGTAAGTAAAAAGTATATCAACTGTATATCTTCCAAGATTCATAGGGGGTAGAATCTGATTATTCTTCATTCAGTCAATTTTGTCTTACGGCAAAATTATGGCTTGTGAATTATCTGATTGTCAGCTTGTCTAAATTCTAAAATATTATATCAACAAAAAAATTACCTATCTTAGGTGGCAGTAAAAATGACCAAATTATCTTTGATACCAAATAAATATTTTTTCTTTCTTTCTTTCTTTCAAAATCGAATACCTAATTCAAAATGTAATTTATTACTAGAATCCATGGATCCCCATGATCGACTGCATGCAAATACAGCCCTTCTGCGCTTACCCATACTGTGTCCATGCTTTCAGCAAACAATGGAATGTTTCGGAAACTTTTAATGGCAATCAAACAATCGTTTCATTCCATTCCACAGACCGGGCCGCGGATTCTGTTTTTAAAATTCACCCTACATAATGTTCCATTTACCCATTTTCTGTGGACAATTAACGCTGTCTTTTGTAATAAATTAATGCATCTTTTGGCAGTTAAATTCAGAAAAAATGGGAAAAGGGGGTAATTTTTTTATAAGCTAATAATAGGAATTTAGGATTTAATTAAAATATCTATTATAATTGAATACTAATCCTGTATTTCCGTCCATTATTGTCGTGTTTAATGAGAAAGGTTTTTTTTACAATGAGAAAGTTCTTGGCTCTTATCATCTGATGGAAAGTGATGATCAGGCTGAAAGTGGAAGCTTGGATAGTCTTTTTCTGACTACTACTATTCATACTATGTTAATATGCGCTGCTCATTGATATATTATTAAGGTTGCGTAAGCAAGCATAGTTTTGTCTTAGGATGTTACATAAATAATAGTGAATAGAAACCAGTGGAATTCAATTCGCATAAGACATGAGAACACGATTTCGGAGGATCTGTCTATACAAACTAGTATCTACGGATAGACCTCGGGGTAACAAGGCCTTGGGCTTGTCTTACTCGATCCCTCTGGATTTAAAACGGGAACCATGGGAATGAATAAATATGCTAAGGTTAAGTACACTGGACCGCAATGAAAAAAGGCCGGTTAGAAAATGTCCTTTATCTTCAAAAGTACCTGATCTTGCTTTATAAAACTAACATACTAGAAAAATACGCATTTTTTAAATCTAAATATATAAAAGGAGAAACTGACTGACTCACTGACATAATAACGCACAGCCTCAACGGCTAAACGTAGACACTTAAAATTTGGAAGGGACGTACCTTAGGTAGGTACCGTAGAGGTGCACTAAGAAAGGAATTCCCCGGAAAAAATCTAAACCGCGTAAGATAGATGAAGGAGGTAAAACGGGATCCACGCGTACGAAGTTGCGGGCGGCTGCTAGTTAAAAATAAAAAGCTTGCATTACTTTAGTCTTTATTTCATAAAGTTAGAAACTTAACTTTTGAAGATATTTAAGATTTGCTAGCCGACCTTTTTTTCTTGCGGTTTAGGAGCAAGTTTAGTAGAAATAATAAAACTGTATTGGCCTGAAATGTTTTCAGTAAATGAAAAAAGACAGAAGCCAGACTACCAATTTGGAACTGCCAAACAGAAATTGGCTTTATCGGCGATGGTTAAAAATGGAAACGTGTACCTAAGTACTTTTACTTGGTAAAAGTAGGCCTACTTTAATGTTGACTTTTTTCTGTAGCAATGAAATACATACTTTTTTATCTATACATATATAAAACTCAAAGGTGACTGACTGACTGACATAGTCATCTATCAACGCACAGCCCAAACCACTGGACGGATCGGGCTGAAATTTGGCATGCAGGTAGGTGTTATGACGTAGGCATCCGCTAAGAAAGGATTTTACGAAACTCCACCCCAAAGGGGGTAAAACGGGATCCACGCGTACGAAGTCGCGGGCGGTCGCTAGTTATAAATATAAATCTGTACCTTCTACTTTCTATTTTTGGAGTTCCGTTAATCCAAATTAGATACTCCTTTGATAGGTAAAATTAAATGAACTCGTATGTAACTACCTCAGATCATAGAATCCTCTTTCTATGATCTGAGGTAACTACACTTTCTGGCTAATAGAATCAAGACTTTCTTGTACAGTATAAAATTTCCTCGTGGCACATAGCTCGTAGAGACGATGGCCGTTGGGGCAGAAAAGTTCTCGAGTGCCGACCACGGGCTGGAAGACGTAGCGTGGGTAGGCTTTCTACTTGGTGGACCGACGATCTGGTAAAGGTCGCGGGAAGAGCCTGGATGCGGGCAGAAATATACGTTCATTGTGTAAAACCTTGGGGGAAGCCTTTGTCCAGCAGTGGACGTCATTTGACTGAAACGAACGAACAAAGACTTTCCACGTGCAGATATTGATCACATACTAGATTATCGGCTGATAAAAATAAAACCGTACTAACGATAACGCGACACTTCCATCAAACGGCAACAAATAAAATACGGCCATCAATTCAGTATTTCAAGGGAAAGTTTTTATTACCTTTTCAATACCTTTTCCAACTACCAAGTGCTTTAATTTGCGGCAATATTGTTTCCAATCCATAAATAAGAAATATCGTAAACTCGTGGCCGTGACGTATAAAATATTATAAGATAAATTCCCAGAGAAATATGCGGATACATTAATATCTATTCGCTTTTATGGGTTCATATAAAGTTTATGAAGTTTTTATGACTCGTCCTCTCAGTGCAGACCGTCCTTAATAATATTTTCTAGGGCATAACGATGTTAATAAAATGTAAGAGATTTTTATCTGTCTGATAAAGTCGATGCGCTTATTATCGCGTAACGTAAATTGGAGGTTTTGAGAATGCAGGTGAAGTTTAATAAATTTTATGATGAAGCTTTTGCTGACGCTTTGACGTAATTTGTTTTTCGCAAAAACTAACAAAAGACTTGGTAAATATAAACTGTTGAGAATTTACGGATTCACTTTAGGTTGCACCATCTTACTTAAATTTGACAAACGTCAAAAATCTGTCAAATTCCATACAAAAAACACCGGTTATTGTTAAAGTTACCACTGAACCGATTTTGTTGAAATTTGGCATAGAGATATTTTGAGTCCCAGGAAAGGACATAGGATAGTTTTTATCCCGGGTTTTGAAATAGGGACGCGCGCGATCAAGTTTTTCTGTGACAAACAAAATTTCACGCGGGCATAGCCGCAGGCGTAAAGCTTGTTTATAATAATTCTCCAAAAAGGAGTCCTACTACTACTGCACTTTAAAACTTCGTTATATGAGGACTCTTAATCGAATTCGAATTCAGATATTATTTCTTACTGAAGACACCAACTGAAATATGTGATAATGCAGTCCCCTGAAGAATTCGAACCAGCAGCCATAAAACGAACCATCAGGCTACAAATTAAGTTACATTACATTTCGCCACTAATCTCTCATGCTTAACTTACCTAACAAGTTGTCCGCTAAACTGACAACCTGGAGCGAGACCGAGTTGTGAATCTGGGTTCCGCAGTTCCAAGTTCCAGTAACTTTGTCCCATTCACTCTGAATATTCTGTTGCTGAGTTACTGGGTATTCGTCATTACGCCATTCTTTTGAAAGGGTTCTCAGTACTATTTCTAAGATCGTTAGCATTTTTGAAACGCCGTTAAAAATGCTGAAATATATTTGTGTGAAATCATTTCGCCTTCTTGAAAAGTATGCTTTTTGTGCAAGGACATAAAGTCTGTTTGTTTTATCTGGGTGTTTCTATGCGTAACAATAATTATGTATTTACATTTAAAAAGTGTTCATAACTGTTTGTTGGTAGCACTTAAAATTAATATCCTTGTGCATCTTTACCTGTGTAAAGATGTTCAAGGATATTTATTAACTTCAGAGAAAATGAAGGATCCTTATTATAGCTTAGTAATTACAAAGTCTACAGAGAAAGATGTCACAGAGTTGCCAAGTCTTTAAGCTAAAAATAAGTTTGAAGCCTTCTTAGACTTGTCAAGCCTCAAAACCATTGTTAATATTCTATAATTTCCTCCAAAAGTACTTTTAATAATAAATTATTCTGGGAAATCTTCCTAATGTTACACCGTTAAGTCGCCAAAGAGTACGAAACGCTCGGAGGAAATTACTTTTTTCAATGCGTAGGAATTCTATGGATCCCACAGTTCTATAGATATACCCACCTCCGCCTCACAGTAACGGACAGACCGCGTTAACATAGTCGAGGTTGATACAGAAAGGACACTTTCCGATAAACATATTAAAATTGTGCCTACTTTTTGAAACACCCAAGCTCACCCAACACTTTTCTAAAAGTTAACTTTTTTATTTAAATGGCAACCAAACTAAATTTATAAATTCTTTAGATAATTATGTACTATACTTAAGTTCAATGTTATGATGATAAAAAATAAGGGTTCCTTGTCAGGACTACGAAACCCTAAAAATGTAGCAATTATAAAGTTTGCATGTAAAATTGATGAAAACTAGCAAAATTGTAGCTTCTTTTGTAGAAAAACCACATTCCCCAGTTCAGTCAGTCAATGAGTTATTATTATGTATAGTTTTGACAAACTTAATTACAATTTTAATGATTCTTTATCGCAAAATGCGGGAGAAATCATAAGTCTACTGCCTCTATTTTTCCCCTGTGATAAAACCCTGCGACCTTTTATGCGGGCGAAGTAAGTTTTATTAAAACCTGGCAAAAATATATCTAATAATATGAAAGCGGGTGTCAGTCCATGACGTGAGATGAATAGCAATAGTAGAATAGTTGTGCAGAGGAATTCATTATCGGCAGCTGTGATGTGGTTTGATGTGAAATAACTTTGAAATAATAAATGGATGGAAACAGTATTAAAAAAAATTACACACCTACAGGGTGTCCCAGAATGGGTGAATCAACCTCCCGGTAGCTCTACTAATGTACTATCCCAAAAAAATATGAAAAAATAATTTTGAGTTCGATTTTTTTTATAAAATGCTCTAAACTCTAAATCTAGTCATTATTTTCAAAAGCTTGTTTACAGATAAACGAAGCGATCATGTTAGTAAGAAAAATGTACAAATAAACTCCAAACGTAGCAATTATAGCCAGATACTTAGGCAAGGCTGATTATTTTAAGTTTTTCAAAAAAAAAATTTTTTTATTTCCTTATGCGCTTTATTTTTTTTCATATTTTTTAGGGATTGTACATTAGTAGAGCTACCTCCCCTATCAGTTTGATTCACCCACCCTGTATAATTTGTTTTTTATAATAAGCAGCATCATCAGACGGATTAGCGAGCTGAAGTGGCAATGAGCAGGGCACATAGTACACAGAACTGACTCATCGGCAGCAAGGTTCTGGAGTGGAGGCCGCGTACCGGAAAACGCAGAGTGAGACGTGGACAAGGTGGACCGACGACATCATAAAGGTAGCAGGAAGGCGCTGGAACACCAACCGGTCAACTTGGACATCATTGGGGGAGGCCTATGTTCATCAGTGGACGTCCTATAGCTGAAATGAATGATGATAAAGCAGCATCAAAGTTAGTGGTTTATCTACCGTATTTTCTGGTGATACTTAACTAATATCTTATGGACGATTTCGTCGCCTAAGCCGAAAAATATTGTCTTTTCACTTTACTTTAGAAGAAGTTTTCTATTTATGGTCCACAAGTTAATTCAAACAAGTTAAAAAAACAATTCAATAAACACCGACTCTAAATAGACTGCAACTTTATTTGTAGATCACAACGTGATTAACACATTAGCATTCACTGGAATTAAATGGCATGTCACAGTATAAATTCTTTCTTAACCTTCGGAAGGCAACAGGGGTGACCAGTCACCCCACTAGTTCAAAAAAGTCTTCATACGTTTAGTTGCAGTTGTTGTGTCTTTTTATCGTTTGGTCTATTCTCTAATTGGAGGGAGAGCTATCAGTCGCATGCGTCAACATATCGCGTTAGGCTCATGTTTTTGATATTTTGACACTGCTGGGGTGACTAATCACCCCTGTTGCCTTTTACGTATACTTTATTTTTTCGTGTTGGTAAAGTAAATGGTTGGTTTTGGAGTAAAAATGGCTTTGTTTTCGGATGATCAAATCGAAAAATACTTTCATGGACTTGCTGATGTCAATTCCCATAATAAACGCTGCTCAGATGATAATAAGATTTCTAAAATTGAAGACAATAATCTCAGTTCAGTCGGAGGAGGAATACTTTATTTCCAATAGCGAAAATTGTAACGACGATGACGTTCTACTAGCACAATTCAAACAAAATGAGCTACTATGTAAGAACAGACATGTTTGGTCTTCTTGGTTTCATCACCTTGGAGTCAAACACCTCGACAAAATATAGTAACTCTTGCGAGAGATGCGAGAATTATAGAGCAATTACACATGGCATTCTAAATATGAACTAGGGACCTCCTGAGGGTGCACCTTCAGCAAAGTTATAGAAGCAGGCAAGGTTAGTGCTGTCNGACACTTTCCGATATACATTTTAATATTGTGCCTACTGTTTGAAACACCAAACATTTTTCCTAAAGTTATTTTGTTTAAAAATGGCATTCAATCATCTTTTAAATTCAGTTTAGGTAATTACTTCTATGTATTACAATACTAAGGCTGGGTTGCACCATCTTACTATAACTTTGACAAACGTCAAAAATCTGTTAAACTCCATACAAAAGACAACGGTTATCGTTATAGTTACGGTCAAAGTTAGGTGGTGCAACTGAGCCTAAGTAACTCTTAAGTTCAATGTTACTAGTGACACAATGGTAAAAAATTGCTACTATAAACTTTGCATGTGAATTGATGAAAACTAGCAAAATTGTAACTTCTTTTTAGTAAAGCCACATTCCTCAGTTCAGTCAGTCAATGAGTTATTATTATGTCTAGTTTTGACAAACTTAATTACAATTTTAAAGATTCTTTATCAGTAAATGCGGGAAAAATCGTAAGTCTACTGCCTCTATTTTTCCCTTGTGATAGAACCCTGCGACCTTTTATGCGGGCGAAGTAAGTTTTATTAAAACCTGGCAAAAATATATCTAATAATATGAAAGCGGGTGTCAGTCCATGACGTGAGATGAATAGCAATAGTAGAATAGTTGTGCAGAGGAATTCATTATCAGCAGCTGTGATGTGGTTTGATGTGAAATAACTTTGGAATAATAAATGGATGGAAACAGTATTAAAAAAAATTACACACCTACAGGGTGTCCCAGAATGGGTGAATCAACCTCCCGATAGCTCTACTAATGTACTATCCCAAAAAAATATGAAAAAATAATGTTGAGTTCGATTTTTTTTATAAAATGCTCTAAACTCTAAATCTAGTCATTATTTTCAAAAGCTTGTTTATAGATAAACGAAGCGATCATGTTAGTGAGAAAAAAGTACAAATATTATAGCTATATATATATATATATATAAATATTAAATAATATAGCCAGATATAGGCAAAGCTGATTTATTTTCACTTTTTCAAAAAAAAAATTTTTTGTTTCCTTATGCGCTTTATTTTTTTTTTCATATTTTTTAGGGATTGTACATTAGTAGAGCTGTGAGTGAGAGCCTGAGTTCTGGGACACCCTGTATAATTTGTTTTTTGTAATAAGCATCATCATCAGACGGATTAGCGAACTGAAATGACAATGGGCAGGGCACATAGTAGATACACAGAACTGACTCATCGGCAGCAAGGTTCTGGAGTGGAGGCTGCGTACCGGAAAACGCAGAGTGAGACGTGGACAAGGTGGACCGACGACATCATAAAGGTAGTTGGAAGGCACTGGACTCAGGCCGCACTAACCGGTGAACATGGAAATCATTAGGCGAGGCCTATGTTCATCAGTGGACGTCCTATAGTTGAAATGATGATGATGAGGCGGGATCAAAGAAAGTAGTTTATTTACCGCATTTTCTGGTGATACTTAGTAAAGTTAACTAATATCTTATGGAGGATTTCGTCGCCTTAGCCGACAAATATTGTCTATTCACTTTAGATTAAAAGAAGTTTTCTATCTATCGTCCACCAGTTAATTCAAACAAGTTATAAAGACAGTTCAATAAACACCGACTCTAAATAGACTGCAACTTTATGTACATCAGAACGTGATTAACACATTAGCATTCACTGGCATTAAATGGCATGTCACAGTACAAACTCTTTCTTAGTCAAAAGTAGTTCTGTCTAAAGGAGATATCGAATACTTATTGGTCTTGTGACACTTATTTAATAAATATATCAGGCAAACTATGTTAATTTAATTAGGTAGGTAGGATTTAGTTCAACTTTTGTAAAAACGCGGTCAGATTTTACAATTAAGACCGGAAAATCCACATTGAAAGCAAAAGTATTGATCAAATGAAACGTTAATAACCCTACTCTGACGCAGTCAGGTAAAAAGGACCTTAACTAGTAAAATGCTGCTTTTGCTGATATCGAATTGTGACTGTAACGAAATTAAATACGTTATTGACAGTCCGACAGACAAGCGTCCGCGTAACTCCTGCTTTATACAGTCAACGGCTCATCAAGGTAAAACACAAAAGCATCTTAAGCAGTAGTAATAGAAGCGAATTTTCAACAAATATGTATAGTCTGATGTGATGACATCTGTACTTTACAATCGT